GTGGCACGATGTTTCGCAGAGTGAGAGCAATCATTTATGTTGGAGTGAGTCACAGATTTTATGAGGTCGGTCCATCATGTTGGAGATCNCGTCCTCATCGAATTTCTGGTTCCTTATATCTTCTTCCTATTCGTACACTCTTGACAGAGTGGTCGTGGTCATGCCTCAGCCGGATCCTGCGATACCGATGCTCTCGCGATGCGACGCCATGTGGCACGATGTTTCGCAGAGTGAGAGCAATCATTTATGTTGGAGTGAGTCACAGATTTTATGAGGTCGGTCCATCATGTTGGAGATCGTCCGCGAGATCTTTTGCCCTCGACTTTCCCTTGCAAATCAAATCAAAAAAATTTATTCAACATAAATGAAAGTACATACTTGTTGAACGTCAAAAAGGACTACCGCCAATTCACAAAAACTAGCCTCCGTCCTGAGAAGAACTGGCAAGAATATCAGCGGGCATGTCTTTTTTTTTTAAATATTAGAATATTTTTTTCAATGTTAGATTTTTTTGAAATATGTATTCATTTTTACAAGGGTATTATAACGTAACAATTATTGCAATATTGAAATGCCCGGAGCGAGCAGCTCATTCCCACTTTGTGCAATCTTCTAGATAATCATTGACTTTATAGTAAGCTTTATTGCACCACCAACCGATCAATGCATTCCTCATTACGAGTGATGTGCCCGAAGAACTTGAGGATTCGTAAATTTTTTTTATTGCCTAGATGTGTGGACGAGCTCACAGCCCACCTGGTGTTAAGTGGTTACCGGTGCCCATAGACATCTACAACGTAAATGCGCCACCCACCTTGAGATATAATGTCTAAAGTCTCAATATAGTTACAACGGCTGCCCCACCCTTCAAACCGAAACGTATTACTGCTTCACGGCTGAAATAGGCAGGGTGGGGGTACCTACCCGCGCGGACTCACAAGGAGTCCTACCACTAGTAAAAAAGTCCTTTTTGTACTGGCTTCTAGTCTCATATAACACGGTTTCGCACTACACGGGACTTTGTAGGAACGTATCTACCGTGTCATAGGAGGATTACCTCTAATATCGATTTTTAATTCAGAGTTGAAATTTTTCTCTTTATTCTCAGGTTTGAAGATGAAGTGGCAATCGCTAGTTTTTTCCAAAGTTTCAAATTTTTCAAACCCATATTTCGTCTTCATTATATATTTGTTATTGTTGTTACCGACTCGCGTAGACAACATTTATGCCGTCTTGAAAATGAAGTCGACGTTTCATTTTTACTAGGGCTGCCCCGCCATTCGAACCAGCACGCATGTGTCCTTCGAAGCAGAAATACGCAACTCTCAATATGAGGTCTACCCAGCGAGCAGGAAACGCAATTACCATAACACAAATTCTGTTTCATTTCCCGATTATTGTTATGCTGTTTAAAATCCCTGAATTTTGGCACACTTTTATTTTTATTGCTTAGATGGGTGGATGAGTTCACAGTCCACCTGGTGTCAAGTGGTTACTGGAGCCCATAGACATCTACGACGTAAATGCGACACCCACCTTGAGATATAAGTTCTAAGGTCTCAAGTATAGTTACAACGGCTGCGCGCACCCTTCAAACCGAAACGCATTACTGCAGACTCACAAGAGTACCACCAGTTTCCCTATAATCCCTATTTATATGGGTTCATGTCTATTTTATTTATTGACGTGCCACTCCACCCCGTGAATAGGTAATCAATGCTCTTATCACGAAACGCGAGCATTATTTACGACGGATATATTCACGCCGACTTGGGTGTTTTTCTGGGAATCTGGTAAATTAGCGTTGTCATAGCTACGAGGCTTCCAGTTTCGGATAACGAGCTGTGACATGTTTTATCCGAGATAAAACAAGAGAAAAAATATCTAATGGCCGCGATTTAATCCGTGCTTTCGACAACGTAACGACAGCGTTATTAGCTTCATTGCTACAACGTTATTTGTTAAGACTTTTTGAAGTGAAACTTTTTTAGGCGCATGAGGGTAAATTTTTTACAGATGTAACGTCACGCAGGTATGCAACGGAAGTGTCGAAAAATTTTAATACAGCGCCATCTACGAGATTTTTTAATACTAACGTGCGTATGAAACTTCTGGTGAATTTCAATTTAGGATTATACGTGACGTTAAAATATCGATTCACAGAGGGCGCTACCTCATACTATAAAAGATGATTGACAATTATTTACTAATGACAAAATTTTACATATACATAGACATTTAGGATAATTGTATTTTAATTTTTGAAGGTTTCACTTTTGTTTCTTTTTTTTTTTTTACTCAAACGCGTTGTTGGTCCTATTTTATTACGGTAGCTCAATTTGCAAGTTGCGATTTATATAACATATACTAGCTGAGCCGGCAGACTTCGTAGTGCCTCAATCGATAAATAAAAGACCTAAACGTTTGTATAAAATAAACTTGAAACAAACAAAAGCAATCCGTCCGGCGGGGGACACATCTAAGGAAAAACAAAATTATTATTTTTATTTAATTCCGAGCATTTTCATAATTATCTACCTTTTAAACCTTCTCTGGACTTCCACAAATAATTCAAGACCAAAATTAGCCAAATCGGTCCAGCCGTTCTCAATTTTTAGTGAGACTAACGAACAGCGATTCATTTTTATATATATATAGATTAATATTCACAAAACCATGTGCATATTATTAAAAAGAAAAAGGATTATGTTTGAATGCGTAAATAAACGTTAAGTAAACGTTTGGTGCATCATCGTGATTCCTGTTTCACCTTATTGATATAAGTCAGCGTGTTGCTCAGAAACTCCTGCTATTTTTTTATTTGGTTCCATCTTCCGTATAAGCGAAGACAGACTACTCAGAAAGGAGATTGACAGTTCAGTATTAAATTAGGTACTGTAACAATACATACGGTGTACTGGTGGTAGGGCATTGAGAGCACACACAGGTAGGTAAAATACACTATATACGATATACGATAAAATACCTGCATATTTCAGCTGTGAAGCGCCGCATAATGCGGTTCGGTATGAGGGATGGGGTAGCCGTTGTTCTATACTGAGAATTAGAGCTCATGTCGTAAGTTAATAATATGTATTATGAAACTTTATATGAAACGGCAAAGATCTTTCAGCGAGCCAGTGAAATAGCTCGTAAATTGACGATCCGAATGTTATTGTTGTGATAAAACTTGTATAAATGAAAACAACTCGAAAAAAAGTCGTGAACGCGAATCAGGTATTTGTTCAATGAATTTCATATCAATTTATTTCAACTGTGTATAGCTGTATACCGGGCCTTCGCCTGCCTCACTCCACACTATATAAGACTCATATATATTTAATAAGACATTTAGCTAATCTATATACATAAAAATGAATTGCTGTTCGTTAGTCTCGCTAAAACTCGAGAACGGATATACCGATTTGGCTAATTTTTGTCTTGAATTATTTGTGGAAGTCCAGAGAAGGTTTAAAAGGTAGATAAATATGAAAATGCTCGGAATTAAAAATAACAATTTTGTTTTTCCTTTGATGTGTCCCCCGTCGGACGGATTCATTTTGTTTGTTTTAAGTTTATTTTATACAAAAGCTTAGGTCTTTTATTTATCGATTGAGGCACTACGAACTCTGCTGGGTCAACTAGTTTAGGAATAAAAATTACCACAACGTACAAAATAATACTACTATGTCGCGCTAAGGTTTTTCCTGATTTCAACATTAGCCAAATTTTTTTTGCAACTACAAGTAATACTACAACAAAAACAAACACTTGTTGCGCTTTAGCGTGCGTCATAGTACAAACGATGACACTAATGCAAACTGAAACAAAGGATATATGTTTTATGAAAACAGCAAGCCGCCGTCACGTTATAGACGACACGCTCTCTGACGCTTCGACGTTTACACAAGAACACAATTCACACGTTCCAATGCCTGACACATGACATCGCATAAAGAGGCATCATTTTCATCACACCAGAGGGAAAAATCTAATTTGATTCCTCATGTTTCGTGTATGGTGTCGAATTAGAGCTCTGAGATAAGCGTATGTTTTGTATAACACGGTACGGTATCCCACGGGCTATATGAAGCAAAGAATATTGTAATTATTATAAGATATAATAACAGCAGATCATGTAGATTTAACGGCCGTCTGGTGTAGTGGTAAGTGACAAGGTCACTACACAAGGGAGTCGCGGGTTCGAATCCCGCCAAGGGAATATATCTGTATGATAAATATAAAATGTATTTTCCAGGGTTATGGATGTATATTAAATATATGTATGTGTATAATAAAAATCTTACATTTATTTCCGTTATCTGGTACCTGTAACACAAGTTCTTTCGAACTTAGCACAGGACCAGTTAACGTGGCGTGATTGTTAGTAAATATATATAATTATTAAAAAAAAAATATCGAGGAGTTAGATTAATTACTTGGTTTAAGTGATATTTATGCGACATTACAAAAGAACCAACTTCTTTAGCCATTTGAATGAAGTAATTGAAATTAAATTAAAAACATCGAACTTTTGATGCTAATACCAAATCACACGTACCTTTAACTACAAAGATTAATACCCCGTATTAAGCGAAATGTCGCTTAAACCAAATAACCCTTCATCCCTTGGTATATGTATAACTTAATGGACTGAAATTGGTAAAAACTTAAAAATGACCGTAATAACCCAATAACAAATCGGAGGGAATAATAGGAATAATAAATAGATTGAAAAAGAAGAAAAAACAACACAGCGGCATGGGTGAACCATTCTGAATTCCATGAAGGAAGGTCTGGTCTGGTCTGGTCATAGTTACAGCGGCTGCCCCACCCTTCAAACCGAAACACATTACTGCTTCACAGCAGAAATAGGCGGGGTGGTGGTACCTACCCGTGCGGACTCACAAGACGTCCTACCACCAGTAGTAGACACTCACGAGAGAACAGGAGGATATTCTTTTTCGAAGCCATTAAACAAATCTTCTGTTTTGTTACAGTGCATATCTCAAAGATGAATTCGGTGTGCTGGCATATTTAGAGGCAGGATTCAACAGGGTGAGTATTGTTCAAATTCTTCCCTGACTCAGGCATCGATCTAAATAGCATATTATAATAACACACAACATCCCGGGTCGAAGTATCCTTTGTCAACCATGAAACCGAACATGTGGAGTGAAGTGTCGGATCCATTCCTGTCATTTGTAATTCAAATAATTCTGTGTCGACACTAATATGGGTACTACTTATCTTCTATCACTATTTGAATATACACATATGTACTTAAGTATATAGTTTTTGATAGTTTCCGAAAACGATTACGCAATAAGCTATTAACCTAACATTATTTTATTTAATAATAAATAATAATTTAAGTGGCGGATGAAAGGCGATTGCATGCAGCAGAGATGCGAATGTTGCGATGGATGTGTGGAGTAACGAGAATGGATAGAATACGGAATGAATATGTTAAAGGAAGTCTGAAACTGGCACCTGTGACAAAGAAGCTGAGAAGTGCGCGTTTGGGATGGTATGGACATGTGATGAGACGAAATGAAAATGAGGTTGGCAAGAGAACGTTAACTATGAATGTGGAAGGATATAGAGGAAGAGGTAGACCTAAGAAGAAATGTATGGATTGCGTGAAAGACGATATGGGTAAGAGGGGAGTGAGCGAAGAATGAATGATAGAAGAGTATGGAAGGAGAAAACATGTTGCGCCGACTTCAGGTGACTGGGAGAAGGGCAGGATAATGAATGATGATGAATAAATAATAATTTAAGTTATAATATATATGAGAACAATTTCATGAATGAAGTTCCTTATTATCAAAAAGGTGCCATTAACCAAAATATATTTTTTCAAAATTCACTCAATCATCTATTCAAAAAAGCTATAAAAAAAAATCTGTTTTGAGAGTTTTGTAAATAAATAAATTAGTTTACAGTTTTCATGGTCATCTTTAGTAAATGTACGTGAAGTAACTTAATCTGACGAAATTACAAGCTTAATCGAACAATAAAAAAACCAATACATTTGATAAAACATTAGTTGTAATGGTGGTAAAATTAGTTGTAATTTGTTTTGTGCATCAATAAAGAGAAAAAAATATGCAGTTGATTGTTAGCGTTGTTGCTGTAATATATATTCTTAAAATATCCGATAACATTACTGTTTGAATGTTGAATAGGATACCAATAGTTATTTAGATATAATTACTATGGAATTTTCCACGAACAAAGGATTGCATGGATACCGAGATAGCTCTCTAATCGCTAGTCATATCTATCATTGATTTTGTCGATTTAATGCAAACACGCTTGAAAATTTCAATGCTATTTAAATATTTTTTTTATAAACCGACACATTTCGTGTTTCCATTTTTATGGTAATCATTTACAAGACAATTATCTTCAATTTTTAGCTAAACACAAAACATAAGATAATCCTCGTGAAAATCTTTTCAAATAGTATTACGTAATGATCTCACGAGAAGTCTAATACAAAAGTTTCGAAAAAAAAATATACAAAAATACAATCGTAACCGCTCAAGCTTAGCGAATTGTTTCGTAAAAATCATTATTCCGAAAATTTGTTACGACAATGAAAAACGATTATTTACACACGCGCAACCCTAAGCCAGGCGCTCATTAATATTCGAACCATTGATATTCAAACGTAACAGCGCATTAACATTGTTCTAGTTTTCTGTTCTGTCAATAGTATACAAAAGCTGCAATACAAAAATAATAGAACACGATAATTCTGAATTATCATACGGCAACAGCAAAGACGTTTATGTAAATGCGAACAAGTCGTTGCGTTGCGTAGCGTTGACTTAAAGTATTTCAGTATTTGAACATTAGTCAACGTTTTGCAATTCACAAAAGTTTCGGGTCTTTAGCGATACGCAACTCTTATCGTGGTCATTTTCGAATTATATCACAAGTTTCGTGAATATAAATTAATGTAGATTGTCGGTTTTTATGCTAAAATAAAATAGTCAAATGTGACAAGTTCTTAAAATAATTGTGACCTGCTGTTAGATTGACGTCAGTCCCAAATACATTTCAAACCAAAATACATGATTGCTTCTTAGTACTCGTCGAAATAGATTAGAAACTATTTGAAAACATGAGTTCTAAGAAAATCTCATATCTATTTAGTGCGTATGCTTTTCATGGCATAACAAATATTATTTAGTGTTGAATCCATAAGTAGGAGTAGATTTATTATTTTGCTATTAATGGAAACTATTTTGTATATCAGATCATTAAAAGCTTGCTTCACAAAATAATTTACCTTGATAATTTACTTTGCCTTCAAAGGTAATTCAACAAAACCCCATTGCTAGAAATTATAAAAAATCCCAAGCATATTTTTAATTAATTATATTTCGGGGATCTATCATGACATGAATGAACAATATTTGCACTGCTCTTTCCAGCCATTACAAAATTTTAAGTCTCATTACATATATTTTGTGCCATCCATAAAAAGAATGAATTACAGTATCAAAATCAGTGAAGATATCTTAAGTAGCACAGCACGACTCAATTGAATATTGATAGAGATGGCAATCGACCGCGTCATGACGGTAAATCAACTCTAATCTAAGCGTCTTTGTGCTGGCTTACAATTAGGGCTGTCACCAAACAAAACTGCAATAACATTTCAATAGATAGCTCTCCTTCTTTTTCTTGTGCCTATTTCATATCAGGTATGGTCGCTCTTATCATGCTGGATAAGACCTTGGCATGTTTTTACAACCGGCTGCCTACCTGACGTCCTTAGATTATCTCTTCAGCAATATATCCATTCCAACGTGCCATAGGGAGAGATTTTTTCTGTTTATTCTTTTTGTGTTTATTTTATTCTTCTTGGGTTCAATTATCTGTATTTTATTATTATAAACATAAATAAGTAAATTTATACAAAACTAATAATGAGTTCGTCCGTGACCACGAAAACTCTAAAGTGTTTGAAACATCGAAACTAATACAAGGACAATAACAAACTCAAATTTAAAGCATAAAAGTAGATTTAGTTATGTATCATCATCATCAACAGCCCACAGACGTCCACTGCTGGACATAGGCCTCTCCCAATCCACACATTTTTTATGTTTAAAATCCTTGAATTCAGTAATTTTCAACAACAGATAAACGCGTGGACTATGTCCCTTATGTGTCAGTTGAGTGACCTCTCACCGCGACTCACCGTTGTTCACAAAGATGAGTCAAGCAAAGACAAGCAAACTTTTGCAAGTTCACCGGTACTGAAATCTGAAGGCCCCTCACAATAATTATAATATCACGACAAATTTAACAGGGCCTCCGAAGCAAGAATTTTGTGTGTGCTCCGAAGCTCTTTTAAAATTTGTTAACGTCCATGTAATCCGCTTTTGTTTCTCGATCTTCGTGGAGGTAATTTTCGAAAGTCAAAAATAATATACCTGTACCACCGCCCCTGCCTATTTCTGCCGTGAAGCAGTTACGCGTTTCGATTTGAAGGGTGTAACTATACTGAGACCTTAGAACTCATATCTCAAGGTGAGTGGCGCATTTACGTTGTAGATGTCTATGGGCACCGGTAACCACTTAACAACAGGTGGGCTGTGAGCTCGTCCACCCATCAAAGCAATAAAAAAAATTAAAAAAAAATGTTCTCTGGAACAGGTAATGGTGGAAACAGTAAACACGACAGCTTGGTGCGCCGAAGTGCTGCAGGCGCGTTCCTCGGCCGCGTGCTCCCGGGCACAGATCGCAGCCACAGCCGCCCTGGCCGCTGCCGCCGATCGTTGCAGAGATTTGGTTGCCATCACTGACGACCAGCAGAGGATCCTCGTGAGTGTTAATCTTTTGGGTATCTTAAGGCAGCGGCTTGGCTCTGCCCCTGGCATTGCGGAAGTCCATGTGCGACGGTAACCACTCACCATCAGGGTGGGCCATATGCTCGTCGGCCTACAATGACAATAAAAAAAAACTTTAATTATTAGGGTTGTAGAACGTGCGAAGTAACTTTGGATTCATCGTCAAACTGAAAGAAATCCGAGCTAATAATAGGGCTGGTACCTACATTTTTTATACTTATGAGTATTAAACCTGTTTCAATATTATACATGCTCCTGAAACGCTGACTACTAGAATTTTCTGAGTTTTTCCCCAGTATATGTTAAGATTCTAATCACTTCTTTCTTTCAATGAGCATCAAATGGAGCACTTTAGTATAAGTAGCGACGTAGATACTACTTTTGTTTACGGTCATTACTTTCAAACAGCTCACTAATAAATCCTGGTGCCGTATGCTGGGGTGGCGTTTGGAGGAAGGTCCGAGGCCAATCCACGAAGCGGCTGGAGGAGAAGCTCTACGACTGGCGACAACCGGAGCCAGAGACTGGGAGGCGCCAGTTACTCTCCGTCGCAGGGCTGCTCCAGATCCAATCATGCTGCCATGCAGGGGTGCCACTATAGGACTCACTAAGTAAATTTTATCTTTCAATTATAATGTTTAACTTCAATATATATTTTTTTATTGCTTAGATGGGTGGACGAGCTCACAGCCCACCCGGTGTTAAGTGATTACTGAAGCCCATAGGCATCTACAACGTAAATGCGCCACCCACCTTGAGACATTAGTTCTAAGGTCTCAGGTATAGTTACAACGGCTGCCCCATCCTTCAAACCGAAACGCATCACTGCTTCACGGCAGAAATAAGAATAATATTAATAAATACTGTACATTTTTGTACAATACCATTATATTGAGTATATTAAGTGACTAAATTAAAATAAGTAGTTGGCCTCTCGTAAATATGTACTTTTAAACAAATAGATACCCTAACATTCAAACAATACACCGAAAGAACAAAAATTCTGAACGTACTATTTAACTGTATACTATTTACACTTGAGCTCGGAATTTAAGTTATTCAATGCTATATGTTCTACATGATCCTTTCATGTCATTTTAAAATGGCACTGTCCATCCGTAGTGCATTTCAAATCCGCCACGTACCATACCCATCTGTTACGAGCTCCTGCCGATTCTGTTTTCGGAGCGATCGTTACTGTTATTGATATCGATTTTTTTTATTTTATCCTACCTATGCTGATAGCCTTGAGAGGCTATATCAGCGTTACCCTAGCGTGTAGGTGAGCTCTCGGGGCTCAAACCGAAGGTGTTGCTAACACTGGCCCTAGCAAGAGCAGTGCTTCGCAGAATCTACCACCGGATCGGAAACGCGACCCACTGAGAAGATCCGTCGAGAAACTCAGTTGTGTCTATGGGTTAATTTACTCGTCGAACCCGGACGGTGACCGGATCGATATCGACAGATTTATTTTACACTAAATACTTGTATTACAGGACAACTTCTCACATAGTATTCGTCTGTGAGCCGAGCGCAGGAGAGGGCGACCGTGGTAGGGGCTCGCTGCACTCGATCAGACGCGGCTCGCTCGACGTGCGCTCAGTGGCCTCTGACGGACTGCGTCGAACCTCACTGGCCAAACTACAGGGACTACCTCTCGAAGCACCCATCACTAAGGTATATAAATCATCGAACTACAAACCTAAACTTTAAATGCTTAGAGTCGATTTTCGATATTCAAATTGTATTATTGATCTGGATGTATTCGAAATTTTTGCAATATTTTCAAGCTTTTTCTTGAACAAACTTTTCTTTGAATAATCAGAGACGTAAGCTAGATTATCTGTAATTGAAGTTAATTCGATAAATCAATTGTACGGAAAATTGATAATTAAACTTTAAATATAATATAGTAACAATAAATTTGTTAATTTTCAATTATGTTGATCCTTAAACATTCTTATATAGCATTTATCATTCATTATTTCCGAAGTAACACGAATTATAAAATAACATAATATTATTTAATAACATAATACAATGTAACCCAATTCGATACTAATTACGATTGCATTATGCTGTTTTAACAAAACATTATCTGGATTTACCAAATGATGAATCATGCAATGATTCTTTCTCTTTTATCACTAGTTGTATATTGATATATGCAAGCGGCTGGGGGTCAATACACGAACAGTTGATGAAGCAACGATACACTGACATCAACTGATTCCCCCTTATTAGAAGACAATGAAGTTGAACGCCTGATAATTATAAAATAAGGAATTAATTATATTTTAATATAACTAAGTAAAAAACGAGCGGTGTAGTACGTGGTTGTCTGTAATGGAAGTTTAATTTTATTTATAAAATAAAGTGTTGCTGTTTTTTTGGCTAGCAAGTAATTTGTCTGAAAAAGATCGATTCAAGCAATAACACATCCCGTTTTGCTTTTATATATTATTGCGTGTGTTCTTTTTTAAATTTACTTTGGTGTACCATAAAGCATAGTCTCGCTCTGTCTCTGTGAAATAGTTGTCGCATTTAGTTTTTTTTTTTGGAACGAATTTCCTTATGCGTTATGCGGAGGGGCAACCTAACCGGGAAAAAACGTCCGTAACGTAAGATTTTTATTAGTAATGCACACAGTACACGACTTCACTTTTTAATAACGTACAAATTGGTATGCAGACAGTGTACGACTTAACTTTGTAATAACGTACAAAAAATAACAAATTTTTTTATCATTCATTGATCACGATCTCAGAGCGTTCGTTTGCGCAATACACTAACTCCTATGCAAACAACCGTGAATGAAGTGTACCACAATAAGTTCGCACATTACCGTATGACCGTGGGTTGTTGCGAAACCTCCAGTTTTATTTTCTTTATACCTCGAATAGAACTTAAAATTAATATTTTTATAATAAGCAACTTCGTTCCTATCCGGTGTCCCACGACACCACATATCTTTTTTTTTTGTAATTTAATCGTTGGCAACTCTAGGTGATATCTCTACTATCGGCGGCTACAGAGGGTGCTCCGCCTTCCACCGTGGCCTGTATAGAGCGAGCCGTCGACATGCTCAGGACTTCAGAGCTGTACTCACCACAGATGAGAGACGAAACCAAACTCAGAGTCGAGGACCCCATAGCCACCGATCTCATTGGCGCACTGCTATCGGTAAGCGATTCTCTATAAAAAATAATAATTTAAAAATAATTTAGCCAAGAATAAAGATGCCCTAAAACTAAATCTGTTATTATTTATCTAAAATATATCTTGTAAATAAAAATAAAGAAAAACGTACGCTTATGTATGTACGTACGTTAAAATAATGTAATGTAAATCATTTATGTATCTATTGACTACTTAGTAAATAATATAAATATAAAATTCAGATTATTTTTATTTTATTTATCTAAATGTATTATTATAACGACATTATTGCATGCTATTTATAATAGTTGTGTATCTAAAATTCTTATTCTCCTCCCCTACATTATATTTCAACATTTAAAGGATATAAGCATTACATATAAATACATATATGTGTATTTTATTACTAACATGTTATTTATTTGTTTACGAACCTGTTGGACAACGGATAGCGGGAGCAAGTGAACCAAAACCTTGTCTATATGGTAGGAGATTTGTTATTACAACAAATGTATCGTCTTCTGAACTCCTTCGTAACGCTAGCCGCTTTCTTAATGAACACTATTTACATGAGCTTCAGCTATTTGTTCTAATCAATCTTATAATCATTGAAATCCTAATTTATGTGTATAGAATATGTCTTGTCGTCTTTCGATAATTATACCTAATTTACTTCGTGGGGTGTAATTGTGAAATTCAAATTCAAATTCAAAATCATTTATTTNCGTCTTCTGAACTCCTTCGTAACGCTAGCCGCTTTCTTAATGAACACTATTTACATGAGCTTCAGCTATTTGTTCTAATCAATCTTATAATCATTGAAATCCTAATTTATGTGTATAGAATATGTCTTGTCGTCTTTCGATAATTATACCTAATTTACTTCGTGGGGTGTAATTGTGAAATTCAAATTCAAATTCAAAATCATTTATTTCAACTTGGATGTCATCAAAAACACACTTGTTGAATGTCAAAATGTAAAAGAAAATGTTAACTCTACCACCGGTTCCAAAAAAAGCCACAGTCCTGAGAAGAACCGGCGAAACAAACTCAGCGGCCTTTTTTTTTTTTTTGTTCTTATTACCATAAATGAGCGTACAAATAAAATCATGACTATTTATTAATGCATTTGACAATTACCGACCCCTCATTTTTACGTTATTGTTTACTAAAATTTCTCACTCGACTATTTCTAAACTTGACACTTACTAACATTTTGTGTTTATTGTTTTATTTATTAAGATCTTTATCATAAAACAATAGTATGATTTAGTGTTTACAGCATGTAAACTAGAAAACTAGATGACAATGCTTAAATAAATTTATAAAATGTTAAATGTAATAGACAGAAAAAATCTGTACCTACCTGTTTTTACTGTACCGCCACCCTGCCTATTTCTGCCGTGAAGCAGTAATGCGTTTCGAATTGAAGGGTGGGGCAGCCGTTGTAACTATACTTGAGACCTTAGAACTTATATCTCAAGGCGGGTGGCGCATTTACGCTGTGGATGTCTATGGGCTCCAGTAACCACTTAACACCAGTTGGGCTGTAAGCTCGTCCACCCATCTAAGCAATAAAAAAAACCTACTTATAAATTAAATTATAGAACTTATCAAAATATTTAACTTTTTTAATTGAAAAATGTTAGGAAACAGATTTTTTTATGTTTTCTTGTTATATTATATTACTCTTTTTGTCTCAGCAGGGAAATGCTAACGTCTTATCGTCGCGTCGAAGCAGCAATGACTCCACCGTCGTGCGTTCACAAACTAACAGAACCAATATCAAACACAAGGTAATTTCTACCTAAATACAGGGAGGGATCCTTTGTTTATTTTTATTGCTTACTAGCTGACCCGGCAGACTTCGGAGTGCTTCAATCGATAAATAAAATACCCAAACTTTTGTATAAAATAAACTTAAAACAAAGAAAAGGAATCCGTCCGACGGGGGATACATTAAAGGAAAAACAAAATTGTTATTTTTCTTTAATTCCAAGCATTTTCATATTTATCTACCTTTTAAACCTTCTCTGGACTTCCACAAATAATTCAAGACCAAATTAGCCAAATCGGTCCAGCCGTTCTAGAGTTTTAGCGAGACTAACGAACAGCAATTCATTTATATATATAAAGATAATTATTTTCTAAACTCATGACCGACTGGAAAAATTATTGGTGGACACTTCGGTCCTTGAAATCTGTAGATAATACTGGTGTACTACTCAGACTGTTAAGACTTAAATTTCAAGGTGATTGGTGGCATTTACGTTGTTGATATCTGTGGGCCTTGTAACTAAGTATTTAACACCGGATCAAACGTGGGCGAACGTAAAAAAAAAAACAAAATACATACTCGATGTAAGATGATTTCTCGTTAACCAGGAGGGTTAACTCACAATGCAAAGTTATATTCATGACAAAAAAATTAATTATCTCTCCCTTGTATTCTGATTTGTGGATCGACGACCTCTTGAAGTTCCCGGGAAATTTCTGGATGAAGGCAGCGCTGGAGTAAACGTTGTCGGTGATGGATTTACGCCTAGGCCCGTGAGGTCTGGGCTTAGGACGACATGATTTGAGGGGCGGCAAAATTGTTGAAAGGCCTAAATATCAGAGACGAAAAGAAGTAAAGACAGTCAGTCTTCTTTGAAAATGAATTCAGATATTTTTTTATAAAAAAAATGAAGTTAATATAAATTTAAAATAAAAATATTGGATCAAAATTAATAAAATTTATTCTAACATTAAGACCAACGCGATAAACAGGGCTTGAGGTTGCATCAAGCTTAAATCCATCCCTGGGGGTTGTGGCGGGGTTGGGTCGGCCTATAGCCGAAAGATAGATAAACAGATTGTATTCAGAAAATATTAGTGTGAGGAGTGACGTCAGATTTTATTAAACTGTTCAGACGACTGGTCAACTCCGAGAGCTTCTGGACACGGCTCTAAGCTGGGACTTCGAGATCTTCCGCCTGGAGGATCTGACCCGCGGGCGGCCGCTCGCGCACCTCGGGCTCGCGCTCATGGGGGGCAGGTTCGACGTGTGCGCCGCCCTGGAGTGCGACGAGAGAACGCTCCTGCACTGGCTCACCGTCATCGAGACCAACTACCACGCCGTCAACACCTACCACAACTCCACGCATGCGGCCGATGTACTACAGGTACAATTCAGATCATCACTAATTCGTAAATTATAGAGTACCTACTAGTGGTCCTTCAGTAGTCTAAATACGACTATAATTAATTTAAATTATAAGTTTGAGCATTATTATGGTTCTATTTCGCCAAGTCTATATTATAGATAAGTAAAATTAAAGACAATATTAATCTGTCCTCAATTTGACCACAGACTTTAAACAATAACATAAGTTTGACAATAAATACAGAGTATATACTTATGTGTTGTGTCAAATACATGGTAGTGTTAAAAAAATATGTTATTTTTTGTACGTTATTACCAAATAAGTCGTACACTGTGTGCATTACTAATTTGTCCGTTATTACAAAGTTAAGTCTTACACTGTGTGCATTACTAATAAAAATCTTACGTTATGGACGTTTTTTCCCGGTTAGGGTACCCCTCCGCATCGTCCCATAAGGAACTTCGTTCCAAAAAATAAAAAGCTTTGTTGCCTCAACGACGCATGACGCATACGTTGTATGTTAACATTGTTGGTATGTTGTAACAGGCAGTAGCGTACTTCCTGGAGAAGGACCGGCTAAAGAACCTTCTGGAGCCAGTGGAGGCGGCCGCGGCTCTGATCTCGGCGGCGGCGCACGACATCGACCACCCGGGCACCTCGTCCGCCTTCCTCTGCAACGCGCGACACCCGCTCGCGATCCTATACAATGACGTCAGCGTGCTCGAGTCGCATCACGCCGCGCTCACATTCAAACTCACGCTCAGTTAGTACATTAACACATTGACACATATCATGAGTTCACAGCCCACCGAATACAGCATCTCCACGCTTAGTTTACGAAAAAATAATTTAATCGGTTAGCTGTAAAGTCGATTTACGGACAACAGTTTTAGGTGAATTTTTACTGGTGGTAAGACTTCTTATGAGTCTGCACGAGTAGGTACCACCGCCCCGCCTATTTCTGCCGTGAAGCAATAATGCATTTCGGTTTGAAGGGTGGGCAGCCGTTGTAACTATACTCAGATCTTAGAACTTATATCTCAAGGTGGGTGGCGCATTTACGTTGTAGATGTCTATGGGCTCCAGTAAACACTTAACACAAGGTGGGCTGTGAAGCACGTCCACCCATCTAAGCAATTAAAAAAAAAACATTAACACACCAACACACGTTACGGTTTCACAGCCCACCGAATACAACATCTGTGTGCTTAGTACGAGTTTTTTGACGTTCTCGATAGCGTTAAAGCGTAGCCCAATTTTGTATGCAGTTGGAACAGCGCCCCTAGCGGCAAACGTACGTAAACGATCCCATTCCATACAAATATGAGCTAACTTTTACGCTATCGAGAGCGTTAAAAAACTCGCACTAAGCACACTGGTTAGCTGTAAAGTCGGCTTACAGACGATATAACGTCAGTAGCAGAACTATTCGAACTGTTAGCTCTGACGTCACGCGAGAAGAGATCGCTCTCGCTTGCACGTTTAGGCGGAACGTGAAACTTTTTCGTGCGTGTTCATTGATTTATAAGAACTTATCACGTCAACATGACGTCCAAGTCTCAATTGAGAGCCTCCCTCTTATTTGTAGACGGTCAAAACTTCGTTAAATCTTCACGTTTTAGTATTCAGAATTAGCTTCATTTTAAATAGGCTTTTATTTATATAACGGAATCTTTGAACATGATTTTGACCCCCTTCAAAACGTTGGATTAACTCGAAATTTGGTATACTTATTAAGGACCGATGACAATTAAATATTTTAAAAAAAATTGAAGAAATTGAAATTCAACTAAAAAATGAAAAATAAATAATAGTTTAAAAAGTCTAACAAAATATCATGGTGCATGGTAACAGTAGTTATAAATATTTTATGAACAGATATGAGTAGAAGGGTTATTTTGATAATATCCTCATAATAAAATCATTTTTCTTACACTATCTTTAATACAAATTGATTAAAAAAAAATTTCAATTTTTTTGTTGGATTTTCTATAAATGCGTATTTTGGTATAATAGTTTTTTTAAACTATTATTTTTCACTATTTTCACTAAAGAGTTATTCGACAATTTGGACACGACCGTAGGATGTTAAATACGCAAACGAACATTACAGACGACGACCGCGTGAACATATTCAAGAATCTCGACCGCGACACGTACAAGACGGTGCGGCACCACGTCATCGACATGATCCTCGCGACGGAGATGACGAAACACTTCGAGCATCTCGCCAAGTTCGTCAACGTGTTCTACGCTAAGTCCTCCGGCAGCAAGGAGGACGGAATGCACACGGATGTAAGTACCACCACCATGTTCCATCAATCAGAGGCTGTTGTCTATGGCTCATCCCAAAAATGAAAAGTTTTTTTTTAATGGCCTAGACGTGTGGATGAGCTCAATTTACAACGTAAATGCGGCATACACCTTGAAATATAAGTTCTAAAGTCTCAGTATAGTTACAACGGCTACCCCATCCTTCAAACCGAAACGCATTACTGCTTCACGGCAGAAATAGGCGGGGCGGTGGTACCTACCCGTGCGAACTTACGTGGGGTCCTGCCACCAGTAAAAAACGTCGACGTTAAATCAACGCGCTTAATCCGATTTAATAATCGAATCCCGGTCCTCAGTCTCCGCTAGGCCTATTATCCGACCGTACTAATAATGGCGGCTTTACTTACCAAACTTCCCCTAAAGCCCATCTTGTCCTCCTTTATAGGAAAGCACTAAAAGTTTAATAACCCTTTGTTGAATACTTGAATACCGGTATTAAAGTTGTGAAACCACACGCTTCGATTTCATCGTCCGGGAGCCTACCATGGATTTCAATGGGACGTGATAAAAACGGCCATTGGTATATCATATACCACATTTCCATGCAAATTCCTAATCATGTTCCTATGCAAACGAGACCTCGAGACTCGATAACCATTTATACATATTTGAAAGAGCAAATACGCTTGTAAAAAGGAAGGTTTTTTTGTATGAATTTATTAAAAAAAAATCATCAATTTTCAAGTCATAATTTCGGTTATCTTATCATTAATTCCTATAACTAAGCTTCCTAATATGTATAAAGTAATTAATATATAATAAAATGTTAAATGAAAAAGCCTAAAATTCCTTAAGGCTGTATGTTTATTTTCACGTTATATTCCAGGAGCCATTATCACTAGACACCACAGCACTTTCTCAACCAGAGAATGTCTTGTTGGTGAAAAGAATGATGATCAAATGCGCTGATGTCTCGAACGCGTCACGACCTCAAAAGTTCGCTATGGAGTGGGCTCGACGGTAAGATCCACTACTTACTCCCGTAATAAAAACCAGTGTTATTTATAATGAGGAAATTGGGAAATACAAAAATACCGGCGCAGCGGTCTTTTAAATATATAAATAAAAATGAATGTTTGTCCTCAAAGCGTTCCCCCCATTCGCCTGATTTTGATGAAACCAGTGTGCGTAGTGCGAGTTTTTTAACGTTCTCGATAGCGTAAAAGTTAACCCAATTTTGTATGCAGTTAAAACAGCACCCCTAGCGGCAAACGTAGGCAAACAATCCAACTCCATACAAATGAGTCGACTATTATCAAAGCCGGCAATGTGACTTTTGGACAATTATTGGTAAATCAGAAAAACGAATTATTGACTTTGTATTCCATTGCCAGTCACAAAACTCTTCTGAACGACATCTTAGATAAATAACAGGATAAGTATTAACCTTTATTTAATGCAGGTTTTGAACCGTATTCTTTGAAGGAGACGATTATATTCAAATCAATCTGTATTGACATATCAATAACATTTTTTTGTCCAAATGCACAGATTACCACCTTTGATCATAGACGACTCAAATACGAGGTAACTCTAACGCTATCGAGAACGTTAAAAAACTCGCACCAAGCACACTGGTACAGTTGTGGTTGGTACTCCAGGGGGCATTATAGATTTTTATCACAGTACCACCAATGTATACACATACTTAAGTATACCTGATAGCCACAGCATAGAATGATCTGATTTTACTACATATTTTTAAATGAATATAATTAGCCCTCTATTTGTAGTCTACACTAAAAGAATGAGGGGGGAGAATAACTATTAGATATGTAGCATTATCTTTATTATTTATTTATTAGGATTGCTGAGGAATATTTCCTACAGACGGATGAAGAAAAGGCGAAAGACTTGCCTGTCGTGATGCCAATGTTCGATCGAGCCACCTGCTCTATCCCGCGCTCACAAATCGGCTTCATCGACTACATCATCATAGACATGATGGAGGCCTGGGCTGGTAACATTCATTTCTAGATAATATTTCCTAATATAGGCTACAAAGACTACAATTGACTGAAACTACAACGATTCACATCACTAAACTATAATTTGTTTTTTTTGGAGTTTATGTCCTGGTATCTAGACCTTTAGGCCATACACTAAGCTACAATAGCCACTCATAAATTACCAGGTTATGTAGATGACGTAATAGACAAGTAGATTTTTTCATTAATTCTATTCTATTCTATTTCATTAATTTGCAATATAAAACCTCTGAGATATCTGAAATATTGAGAACACCCGAATACGTCATTTATGAATAAAGGCGGTTAGTATGCGTAGAAATGCGTAACATAAAATTATATTTTTTTATATATATACACAAGTTCTTGACTTTTACGTTTCATTTCTATTGCTTTGTAAGAAAAACTTGTGTAATTCATCTCATAGTGAATAATATGTTCGTCACTATCTACCGTAACTCATGAAATTCGTTTGAAGAAAAATATGTTTAATGTTTACGCAACACCGTGTAGAATTAATTACAGAGTAAGTAAGTAGTACGTAACGAAAAAAATCTCTAGAAACGAGCTGAGGAGTTTAGAACATTTCTATATCGAACTTTAGGGGGATTCCTCAGAGCATTCCCCATGGAACTTGCAACATAAAGCGCATAGACAACCAAAGTTTTTCCGTAGAAGTACGGACTCCAAAAGTTATTCGAAACCTGTAGGAACAAGATACCTTTAATAAAATCTTCGTTTTGTAGCCTTCATCGACATGCCAGAACTAGTGAACCACGCCAGAAGCAATAACCAACACTGGCGGGAACTGGACGAGGCGGGAGTGACCACGCTCGCCGACGTCAAACGTGTTCAAAGACAAAACGCTATACAAGCCCCTCCCACCACTACCGCCGAACCGACAACTGAAGAATAAATTCACTATGTCATATCAAACTATCGATATACAGGGTGTAGTGGAACAGCTACCGAAAATAAAGTTGAGGAGTGATACTGTTAACTAAAACTACAAACCAAAAAAAATTATTTTTGGAATTTTTGTATCAAAATAAAAAATCAAGTGATGCGCGGGATTTACTATCGCAAAGATATTCGGGTTGGATGGCCCTGGATGCCTTTGCCTTGTAAAAATAGAGATAAATCTATGCTTGGAAAATGAACGTCGCTATGCGTTTCGCGGTTTTTGTTGTTGTTGTTGTTTCGGATTAGGGAATGATCCTCTACACCCTGTATAAGTTACTTCGAAAATTAAAGACATACCTATTTGTTATTAATGTATGTTATGTACGTAATCGCGCCTAAAACCTAATCACAATTTTATATTCAATTAATAATTCTGCTAAATATCTTCTGAGTTTCGTTGCAAACTAAGAATTCGCGACCCTGAGAGTCGAGATCTGATCACTTGACAAAGAAAATGACTTGGATCAACAGCAATCGAAAATCTACTGAAAATATTTAGATCTGCGTGTACATATTAATAAAAATTAAAATGGTCTAGAAAAAGTGAAATCATACAAAGTAACGAACTCTAACATACAGTAGAAATGATGAAAAAGGGAATTCTGGAATTATGGTGCCTATTGGTTTTCAGTGCACCGTCGTGTATGTTCAATTCTGAGTGTTGTAAGCCCAGATAAAAAGTCAAATTAACCTCCTCAGGTTCTCAGAATTACAGCCAAGCCTTTTAAAACAGATTCTTATGCTATTAAAAATGATTGGAAATATTTATTGTCTTGATTCACTCAGGTTTACAGACACACTTTAAATATTAGGCTATACCTAACGTATAAAGATTGGGGTAATTATGTCCGTAAAGGCGCTTCTTTAACAAAGATGCCACAGATAACATATTATATCGACCAAACAGTTCGTATTGCGTGTGGAGTTCACAGAAAGCGCCCCGATAGTTTGAATGTCAACGTAATAAGTCTGAAACGGATCATAGGCATGCACAGTGCCGACGGATGTGTCCGATAATACGCTTATTTTATACTATTATATCCACGTTAGTGTAGATATCAGTCATATTGTATCTGTTGATATCTACTTTTTAAGTAGTCGTATTTATTAGATCATAGATACTAACTAATATTATTGATATACTGTATCGAATGTATTCAAATTTGGATTTTCATCTTATTGTTATAGATTCTAGACTATCGACGTTTTACAATATAATATTGTGATTATGTATTATTGTAGTTGCCATTTACATACACGGGTAGATGTGTGTTAGTTACATGTGCTGTGTGACTTAATCCGTGATTTATGTGCCATAATAAAAGTATTGGCCAATATTCATTTAGTAATCGATTTTTTCAATTCTGAAATCATTTATCGCTGCATCCCATGACAGTATATTGATAAATCCTGAATTCGAACAACCATCGTTTCACTATTGCCGTATTCTTCAGGCACTTTACTGTGTGCGTGTTATATGTATGTATTCAAATGTTCGAAAATTTCTTAAGATTGTCATAAAATTTGGAATGGTCCATTTATATACTTGAGCTTTCAAAGAATTCCTATTTTTATATTAATCTTTATCTTGTACTCACATTCTGTATTATCGTATAGAAATTCAAAAATTTTCTAATAATTATTTACATATTCAGGTGACTAAATAATTCCGTTTCATTCCTCTGGAATATTTATACATTTTTATCGTATTATTATGTGTAATAGTTGCTAATGTTCTAGTTAACGCTACGTCGTAACTCCACGGAAAAAACAATGTTAATGTTAATGTTATAAAAAAAAATGCTTGTGCACTTTTAAACATATTAAAAACTAAAGTACGCAAACATTGTCTGTGGTTACGACGCCAAGAAATACATTAATGTTTCTTAAAGTAACAATTTATTAATCGTGTCGAATAAGGTCTAACGTATTGGAACGGTGTTTAATGAGTATATTCGTCATTGCGACGCTGGTAATTAAGGAGAAGTGTAGTTTTTAATTACAATGTCGTTATAAATTACGCTTTCTTGTGCTCAATGTCAAATACATAGCGGTCTAAATGTTCTGCGCCGTAATTTTACTACTATATTGTTCACGTGTTGATATTTTTTTTTTTGGATATCTACCGAAATTGATAACTGTTACTAACCAAAAAATTGACGTTTAAATGCTGTTTAGCTCAATTTTTTTTCGCTAGGACGTAATAGCGTCGTTTAACGAGATATCTTGCAGTTAACGTACTGCTTTTTTTTCCCTAACCCTACTGATTTTAATTGTAAGTTTTTATGATTGAGAACTTTAATATAAGGGGGGCTGGTCCCCGCATTCATGTGCAAGTAAGTTATTGTTGTTGTGAATTTTATAATGCGGAAACTGTGTGCGCTATACTACTCGTATAAGTACCATTAATGTTATCGTAAACTGAAATAAAGATCAAATACTTCCAAAAAGGAAAATTGTTTTTTTTTTATAGCAAATGTTAAATGACATTATATGTGTCGCGAAGCTGTAAGTGTAATGCGTTCCAGTTTGAAGGGCGGGAAAACCGTTGTACTATAATAGAACTGGAACTTTGTAGTGGTGAGTGGCGGCATTTACGTAATTGATGTATACATAAGAGCTCCAATAACCACTTAACACAGAGCTCATTCGGCCGACTCAGCAATAAAAAAAAGAAAAATACCTATAAACAATATTTTCTTTTTTGAAGTGAAAACTTCTTTAGAATCGTGATTTCAAACCGGATGCAACGGAAAAAACGACAGGTAAGAAACACAATTACAAAAATGTGTAGGATGAGCCAGCAAAGAATGAGACAGAAATATACATACTATTTAATACAGCGCCATCTGTGAGATTTTTTAATACTAACGTGTGTATGAAAGCTCTTGTAGTGAATTTTAATTTAGGATTATACGTGAAATTAAAATATCAATTCACAGAGGGCGCTACCTTACAATTATTTACTAATGACAAAATNTGTGTAGGATGAAGCCAGCAAAGAATGAGACAGAAATATACATACTATTTAATATAGCGCCATCTGTGAGATTTTTTAATACTAACGTGTGTATGAAAGCTCTTGTAGTGAATTTTAATTTAGGATTATACGTGAAATTAAAATATCAATTCACAGAGGGCGCTACCTTACAATTATTTACTAATGACAAAATTTTACATATACTTAGGACGTTTAGGATAGTTGTATTTTAATTTTGGAAGGTTTCACTTCTACCACGTATGAATTGCACACATGTAATTTTTTTTTTGCTTGGATTGAAATCGCGTCCCAAGCAGAATATCGGCGAGAAAATTAGTGGGCTGTATGGGTTAATTTACATGATGAACCCTTCGTTGATGAGTTCAACAAGAACAACGCTAGGTATTCCTAAGAGTCCGAGTTCCAAAGTGATGTGTTTTGGGAGAGAGCGACCGTTTACCGTTTGCCTTTTCTAGATGGAGGCTACATAGTTAGTTAAATTCTATTTCAGATACTTTTTGGCGGCAACGCGAGGAGTGAAGTTGTGCGATTTGTTTTATTTTGTCTGTTTAGTGTTTCTTCATATTTAAATGTGTAAAAACGGTGGTTTATTAACTGTTTAATATCTGTGAAAATGCACAAATGTGGGAAAATGAAACAAAGCTGCTGGATGTAACTTCTCGGGATCCTCCAAAAAGTCCACTGAGAAAAGCTCAATAAATGACCACAATTTTACTAAGATTATATTTCATCCCATATCAACTCATCTCATTTCATTTAATTTCATCCCAGTTGATTAAGGTCTCAAATTGTGTCTATGATCATTTTTCATAAAAATAAGAATAAAAATAAAAATAAGATACGACTTAAATGTCTTAGTTATCAGGTCATGAAATCCCGTAAAAAAACGATTTTTGAATCCATGGTAGCAGATACATAGGTGTGCTGTAATTTAAATATGGAATTACAAAATGGACTTACTATTCATAGTGATTACGATTAAAACACAATAAATCCATGATAAAACATTTTTATTATAAACAAATAATCAATCAAAAAACATATTTTACAATAAAACTTACAATTCCAACGTTGCGTATTTATATAAATGCAGTTCTATTTCTGCGCGTTCGTCCGTTCTTATTTATACAAATCAAAATATTTAACTACAGTTGAAATTTTCTTCTTTTATTTTTTGATTCGTAAGTTTTATTATTAGAATACCTTGCTTAAGACTTAACCGGCTACCGAATCACGAATTAATTCGTATATACAAACTTTTAATGTCTTACTCTTCATTTTATATGCTGAAGGAAAAAAAACTAAATGTATTCTATTACACGAGAGTTTGCGGTGGATTATTAATAGTTATGTTACCACTTCAAAAATAGGCGAAGGGTTTAATGTTCGGCTGTGTTTTTTTTTATATACGTACACAGATTTCTCAGGCCTTACTACACCTTTTTGGTTGTAATGTGGTCCCATTGTTCAGTTCAATTGGTGTATTCCTTGAAATGGGTTTTCAATTGAATAATATATTTTTATCCTACTAATATTATAACGCGAAATTTTTTAAGAAGGTATGGATGTTTGTTCCTTTTTCAAGCAAAAACTACTTAATGGATTTTGATGAAACTTTACAATAATATAGCTGACACATCAGAATAACACATAGGCTATCGCTTATAAAGATATATTTGTAAATTACCCAAAATATAACGATAAGTGTCAAGTAAGTAGGAAAAAAGATCTGTTTTCCAATCCAATGTCGCCAATCTAACAAATATGGCGTCGTCTCCAGTCTAGCGTATTAGATCAACGTTTGAAACGCAAAGCAATTGCGTCCTTTTCACAATCACAAAGTCACTTACAGTAAATAAAATACGCAAGAGTAATTAATATCCGACGTTTAGTGTGGCAGCACTGGAAATTTGATGGGAACATACTTTGACAGGTATGGGCATGAAAAAACCAAATGTCAGCAATTTTTTTTCCAAAAACCTTAGATACACAAAAACTAAAATACCCTTCATAATGAAAAACAACATTATTCGTCGCTGGCTATAATGTACTCACCTCTCGATTGCAAAGCTCAAACAGACACGAATATACTAATGTAACCATTTGAAATTTGCTGTATTAATTACTTAATCTACATGTACCGAAACCGAAGCTGAACAATTTTGTTTTTTATCCCATTTCACTTAATCGGGATTTTACGCCAAATTAATAGTAATGTAACACCCCACCGTATTTTCCCATGAAAGCCTCAAGAGGCCACGACCCTCAGCATTGAAGATTATCGACGTAATTAGGATGAGAGTGGTAATGTACGCAAATAGTCAAGTTAATCGCTTTGATATTGTCAGACCAATCGTGTCAGATCAATACAAAAAGCGTGCTAAATAGATATAGGTATGTGCACACTCCCGGGCAGTCGCGTACTGCGGTCATTAAGTCAACTTGAATCCAATGTATTTTTATTTACAAGTAATTTTACAATTTACAATTTTACAATCGTAAACGAAAAAAAAACAAAGAAAAAAAAAGTTTGTACGGTTAACACAATCCTGATTGGAAACTATTTTAAAGTTCGATCATGCGTATCATGATTAATTACCCATTTATGTCCCTAAATCTGTATCATTCTCGTAGCTACGAACGCGACCCTGTATCGACGAACCGTAAAATAGTTTCAATCATATCTCAAAAGAAAAGTCTAGAAAATTATCGGAAACTTCCCGATACATTACATCGAAAGAAATGAATGCTTGTGGACTGAAACCATCCCAATCTTAAACGAAAATTATTAATTAAACAATTGCAAATGAAATTATAGGTTCCTATAAATAAATTCTGCATCAGGTACTACTACATAAGAATAATAAATATAATTCGCAATGGTTCTCGCTCGCTGGAATGGTTGGTATTATAATTAATTCAAAACAGTAACATAACAACAAAAAATAAATATAGATAACATATTTTACTCGGTATATAATATGATTAACTGGTTTTTTATCCTACATTAAAAATATCCTGTATTCATAGTAAATTATTGTTACATTACTTGCATGATGATTACCACATTTGCATGAATATAACAAAAAAAAAATCGATATTCAAATCCGCTACAAGGACAAATGTTTTTGAAATCAATATACATATTATGTATGTATATTCTGTTAATAAAATTGTTTTTGTAGCTTCAAAAGTAAACTTAAAAAATATATGTATGAAACAATAATGATTAAATTTTCAAAGGATGAACAGTTTTATTTTAAAAACTTATTCCAATTACAATTCTTTGGAGAAAAAAAAAACACGAAGCGAATAGTACAACGCAGGCTATTCGATATATTTGCTCTCCAGTACATACTAGCGGTAGGCAGCGACTTGGCTCTGCCCCTGGCATTGCTGAAGTCCATGGGCGACGGTAACCACTTACCATCAAGTGGGCCGTATGCTCGTCTGCCTTCAAGGGCAATAAAAAAAAAATACAAATTCAGTAGGACGAGCCAAAATAATTACGAAAACGTAATAATACTATTAATTACACACGTAAATTAGTTAAACATGAAAACAAAATTGTTTAAAAACATAATTATTTAATAGTTTAGCAGCTCGGCTAACAAAGAACAGAAGGAACTATAGCGATTTTTTTTTATGAAATACTTTCTATCTAAACGAATCTATACACAAATCTCGAGTTTATTTGAACAATTCCAAAACTTTTATTTTTTCTAGTGACAACAAAAGACGACTCAAGAAATTGAAAATGAAGATTCTTGTACATACAAAATTTTTTGACCGTTTTTTTTTAAACATATTAAAATATCTCTGTCGTTAAATAGCAATTATGAACATAATAATAATGTATTAAACAATTTTATATTTGTCTTCGGGGATTGCCATATTTAAAATTTTGATGAATAAGATAAAAGCGACAATTTAGATATCGACCCTGTACTAAATACGAGTAGGAAATCAACTACATACATATTTTTATACATTCTTTTTTTTTGTTTGTTTAGATTCGTAATTCAATTAGTGTAACGAACACATCGAACTATCACCAATCCCTTTTAATTATTACCCTTCGACTTATGACAATCTAACAGAACAGATGCTAATAATATTACATATAAGAATTAAGTTGAGGTTCTATAATACGTTAATTTTTTATTTTTTTATTTATACGCCAAAGCTAATAATTTCTTAATAAAACCTTTCCGAATCGAGATCAAACCGATAAAACAAATTTAAAAAAAAAAAACACAAAATACCTGTATCGTTTTTCAACTCAATCGATTTCTAAGATCGATGATTCTTATTAAGTAACACTTAAGTAATTTTCGTAAAATTTTAATGTGTCGAAATTTACGTATTTTTTTACCTCAACCAAATACATAACCAGTGTGATACGGTTCCCCGAGCCGAAGCGGCAATGAACAACTACCCTCCTTTATATTTATTAACCTAAGCATAACCTGTTAATTCGCGTTACATTTCATAATGAATATCTATGAGTCACGGGAGACAACCTGGGAATTTGGGTTGTGGTTCACTTTTGCTTTACATTGCGTATAATCCATCAGCCCACACACGTCCACTGCTATATAAATATTTTTACCATCTTGGTACAATCGTAACAGTTTTTAGCAGTGTGTGTATATATATATTTAGTGTGTATATATATAAAAGTGAACCGCAACCCAAATTCCCAGGTTGTCTCCCGTGTCAGGTGAATATTAATTATGTTACAGTTTTTTATTGCTTAGACGGGTGGACGAGCTCACAGCCCACCTGGTTTAAGTGGTTACTGGAGCTCATAGACATCTACAACGTAAAAGCGCCACCCACCTTGAGATATAAGTTCTAGGGTCTCAGTATAGTTACAACGGCTGCTCCGCCCTTCGAACCGAAACACATTACTGCTTCACGGCAGAAATATGCAGGGTGGTGGTACCTACCCGCGCGGACTCACAAGAGGTCTTATAAATAATGAAAATACATGTAAAGTGAACATACATGTTTCGTCGCAAATATATTGTTATTATCGTTTCTGAATTCGCCAATACTAAATGTATAGGAACGGCTAATACCCCCTGACCTAATAAACCGATCACCTTACGCCGAAAAAACTAGTGTAACCATAAACCATAAATATCTAAGCGTTCCTGTACACACCTTCAGTTTGTATAAGTTGATCAGGCACCTCGCGACATGAACCCGAATATAACCCACTAAATACATTCGAATTCAATGTTCTATAATAAATTTTATATAATCAAATCTTTCGATTATTTTATTTTTTTGCTATAGATGGGTGGACGAGCTCACAGCCCACCTGGTGATAAGTGGTTACTGGAGCCCATAGACATCTACAACGTAAATGCGCCACCCACCTTGAGATATAAGTTCTAAGGGTCTCAGTATAGTTACAACGGCTGCCCCACCCTTCAAACCGAAACGCATTATTGGTTCACGGCAGAAATAGGCAGGGCGGTGGTACCTATCCCCGCGCGGACTCAAGAGGTCCTACCAGCAGTAATTGATTGATATAAATTTATATATACAGCGAACGTATTAGAGTTGATAAGCCATCTGTATTTAGAACAACGGGTTTATCAACATTCATTATTTCGGCTGATTTGAATTTTTATGACGATACCTTCTTATCACGCAACATCGACGTCATACAACGATAACACTAAAACATAATAATAAATAACGTGAGCTCGCATTGCGTGCGGGCGCGCGCGTCAACAGTTGAGTTATCGCGCCGCTAGATGGCGAGAGGTTTGTCCTTGCACTGGTCGACGACGTAGCCGGTGAAACGCTTCAGGAACTTGGGATATTCACGTTTGTACACCGCGCGGAGCACGCCGGCCGGTGCCCAACCTCCAGGGTTCACTGGAAACATTTAGAAACTTTGTACTATATAATGTAAACAATTATTCAATATTTTTTTCTTTTTCCCTATCTAAACTGATATATAGCATGATTATAAGCCTAAGCATATATAATATGTCGCAATCAACACTTAATCGCTGCAGCCGATACGTGATACGGGACGCAAATGTCGGCGTTCAATGGGTCAACTATTCACCGGCCGAGCGGAGCACACGGCGAATACTTATCGTGGGGCAGTCCGCTAGAGCGGTCGAATTTGAACCATTGCGTGTTCCTGTATACGTACCTAAAAGTTGTTAATCATTAGACATTATAATCCGACCGAGTAATTAATATTGTGTTTCGTTTCTCCGACATTACCCAACGACGCCCATCGTTTGAAGAAATAGCATTATGGACCCAGCCCTGCCGACGTTATATATTTATTTTTAAATACTTCATTAAAATATTGAACGCTACTCGTTGCTAACGCTCCCGCTGGCCTGTAACAGGTATACTACGCGCATGCGTTCGAGTGTCACGCATTCACTCTCGCTCTGTCTCTTTCTAGTATGGTAGCGTTAAACGTTCAACGCAACCTTGTTGGAAGTCGTATTAGAAGCTTCACTTCAAAAATGCAAAAGGAGGTGTCTCAGCTAATGCTGTTCAAAGTAGATGAATGGAACAGAATCATTCCCGATCCTGCGGACAGAATGGAAAGCAGTCGACGTCGCCCCAAACACGTCATTTCGGATCCTTCCGATCCAATAACGGTGCTTTTAGGTACCTCAAGCACCGATCATCGTTCTCGTCGAAGCCGTCGCTTGCGACGAAAGGCTCGACGAGTAAATTAACCCTCAGACAAAGCCCACTGAGTTTCTCGCCGGATCTTCTCAGTGGGTCGCGTTTCCGATCCGGTGGTAGATTCTGCGAAGCACGGCTCATGTTAGGGTTCGTGTTAGCAACGTCGTCAGATTCGAGCCCCGTGAACTCTCCTATTAGAGCTTAGGTAGGAAGAAAAGAAAAGAACAGCGTGTGTTTATTTTCATACTGGACTAACCTGTACTGCAATAGGCGATGCTCGTGGTGATATTATCCCGCGTGGGCTGCTCGCCGGCCGGGTACGTGCTGCGGCAAGCCAGACACACGGTCACGAACAAACGGATGCACGCACTAGAGTTCGCCTGAAAACAAATTACGGGAATCGAATATACAAAACGATACCAAAAATTCTAAATGAAAGAAATTAAGTAAAAAAACCTCAGATCAACAAGCAAGAGAATCCTTGAAAATTCTGGTGGTAGGACCTCATGTGAGTCCGCGCGGGTAGGTACCACCGCCTTACCTATTTCTGCCGTGAAGCAGTAATGCATTTCGGTTTGAAGGTTAGGGCAGCCGTTGTAACGATACTTGAGAGCTTAGAACTTATATCTCAAGGTGGGTGGCGCATTTACATTGTAGACATCTATGGGCTCCAGTAACCACTTAACACCAGGTGATCTGTGAGACCGTCCACCCATCTAAGCAATAAAAAAAATACAGAGCTTCGTAAGCATGACAGTCATCAGCGACAGCGGTCTTCTCCTGTGACCGCGACGAAGTTGACATGTTGTTCGTCAAATCCCGAGCAACGCACCCAATTTCCAATTATACCTGCTTTTGGACTCTTTTTTCAATATTTTTTGGTGCGCAATAAAATATACTGCCTCTCTCTCTCTCTCTTTTTAGATCAAAGATTCGCAACTCACTGGATATTCCGTGTTGGTAGTGGAATGGTTGGTTACAGCGAAGGTGTTTTCGCTGGAGGCCCTCACGTGTGACCAGAACAGTGCGTCCCGCTGCGACGCCGGCCAGATCCGCTTGAACGTTTGGTGGAACACCAGCGCGTCCGATGAGATCTCTTCTACTATCGTCATCTGTTCTAGGGTAGCTGAAAAATTAACGTTATTATTAATATTTTTTATTTTGCTTAGATGGGTAAACAAGCTCACAGCCCACCTGGTGTTAATTGGTTACTGGAGCCTATAGACATCTACGACGTAAATGCGCCACCCACCTAGAGATATAAGGTCTCAAGTATAGTTACAATGGCTTATCCTTTAGGCTACGACGATTGAAAAGAACTTAATTTTATTAAATCGTCTTCTCGCATTAAAACTGTTTAATCTCAAAACTTACTAATTTTACAGGAGAGTTGAGGTGAGTGTTTTAAAGGTTTAACATGTGATATTTTTAATACTAATCATCTTTGCAACATTTTTTATTTTATTTTTACCAGTTACATTATCTGTCTTTAAAGTAAGATAAAATATTGTATTAATTTTGTTAACAGTAGTCAAAACATAGATAAACTAAAAAACTAAAACTAAAATACGCTTTTTTGACAGTATTTATGAGAAAAATACTGGTGATAACCAAATGATTCCGCATATTAACTCAATATCGAATATTTTAGGAAATTGTACACTTTTAATGCGAAAAGACGAAATCATATCGTTCGCTTCTTGGCAGGGAGCCGTCATTTTAATCAAACTGCAGGCAAACATTATTGTGACTAAGAGGTTTTTTTACTGTACATCTGTGCATTCTACATATCGACGCTTGAAAGGCAAACGTGACTAAGCGACAATAACTGCTTTGTACATAAATTATAGGCAATAACCATATTCGATGCGCAAAAAAACAAAATGTGTGCAATTCATACTGGTAGAAGTGAAACCTTCCAAAATTAAAATACAGTTATCCTAAACGTCTTAAGTATATGTAAAATTTTGTCATTAGTAAATAATTGTAAGGTAGCGCCCTCTGTGAATTGATATTTTAATTTCACCTATAATCCTAAATTAAAATTCACTACAAGAGCTTTCATACACACGTTAGTATTAAAAAATCTCACAGATGGCGCTGTATTAAATAGTATGTATATTTCTGTCTCATTCTTTGCTGGCTTCATCATACACATTTTTGTATTTGTGTCTCTTACCTGTCGTTTTTTCCGTTGCATCCGGTTTGAAATCACAACGATTCTAAAGAAGTTTTCACTTCAAAAAATATATTTCTAGGTCTATTAAAATCATTTCAATCCTACAGCTAGATTCATAAAAATAGATTTTTTTTCAGGTATTTCAACTTTAAATTAGTCTACTGTAAAGTTCACGCATTTTCGCTTAGTCACGTTTGCCTTTCAAGCGTCGATATGTATGTATATCAGACTGGCTCCCATATTACAAGGAATCCTAATTAGAAGGCATTGTGACACAACATTGATTTATCACAAATGTATAAGTTATGTTTAAATCTACTTTAATTATAAAAATCGCTTTGAAATTTTGGAACTATCTATATTTATCATAATAAATAGAAGAGCTTAAAACTACAACTTGAATCCGAGGGCTAGGTTATTTGACAAGGAAAATTATTTAACTTACTAAATGACTAAACTTACTTTCCCATTCGTATCTGTATCTCGGGTTGAAGAAGTAATGACACATCTCACGCGCGGAGACGCCTCGCACCTTGTGCATCGCCTTCAGAGGATCCATCACCATGCCGTCGACTTCCACCTCCCTGATTAATGATAAAGTTGGTTTATATTTATGATTGACTAGCTGACCCGGCAGACTTCGTAGTGCCTTGATCGATAAATAAAAGACCTAAATTTTTGCATAAAATAAACTTAAAACAAACAAAAGGAATCCGTCCAACAGGGGACACATCAAAGGAAAAACAGAATTGTTATTTTTATTTAATTCCGAGTATTTTCATAGTTATCTACCTTTTAAACCTTCTCTGAACTTCCACAAATAATCCAAGACCAAAATTAGCCAAATCGGTCCAGTCATTCTCGAGTTTTAGCGAGACTAACGAACAGCAATTCATTTTTATACATATAGATTATAATGGGTAAAAACCGGGTAAAGTTTAGTTAAGTTAAAGGGAATAAACCGAAAGAAACTTTAATCTTACTTATTTGTCTATACAAATAGTGCGTCATTTCGGAGCACGCTCTATCACTATACAGGGTGAGACTTGACATAACAGATGCGTTCGCGAAATCAAAGAAACGATAGTAGAACTAGTATTGTTTTTAACGCTGCACTTAATGTAATCTATAATGACCGAACTATAGAAGATATGGTCTTGGGAGAGCATAAAAGTTGTTGTTTTTTGGGGTTCCGTAAAGCCGCACGGGTAGGTCATCTCTATCCTGCCTATTTCTGCCCCAAAGCAGACATACACTCCAGTTTCACGGGTGGGGCGACGGTTATGCGGCATTCATATTATAATGGTCCTAGACTCCAATAACCATTGATCACCAGGGACATGACATCTTTTCCCCACATATTCTTTTTCTTTAAAACTCAATCTTTTTTTAATAAAAGAAAAAGTAACTACCCATTAGATATCACATAATCGTAATGAAACACACTAATGCTCGGTCAATGCCACGGAAGCCTTCAAAGTATGGATTTGTTTGAATTAACGCAGGATCAATCAATAGTGAACGTTATTTTGTGAAGGATTTTTGTGAGTACCATAAAAACTCTACCAATGCTTTACATTCTTCTGAACTATTTGTATAGCGAGAAATAAGCAAATGTCTAAATTAGGTATGAGATTAAAATGAAGTTATCTGGGATCAATGATTACCAAAAAAACAGAATCTGGTAATATCAAGCCTACTGTACACAACAACTCAGACTTAGGAATACGAGTCATAACTCATAGTCATAATTAAGTTATTTAATCAAAATTAAAACAATTAATATCACTTTTACGATATCGACACGTCAGAAATAATAATGTCAGAATTAAGTATTGATAATAAAAAACGCAAACCTTAAAAAAACTACTTCAATTTATGTATGTGATTCGCGAAAACTGAAGAACTTATTTATAAAAATACTAGCGACCCGCCTTCGCTTCGCTTCGGAAACTGTAATTTATTATTGATTTCTCCACTATTTAATGGATGTTATCATACATATCGACGCTTGAAAGGCAAACGTGACTAAGCGACAATGCGTGAACTTTACAGTAGACTAATTTAAAGTTGAAATACCTGAAAAAAAAAATATTTTAACGAATCTAGCTGTAGGATTTAAATGATTTTAATAGACCTAGAAATATATTTTTTTTGCGCATCGAATATGGTTATTGCTTATCATTTATGTACAAAGCAGTTATTGTCGCTTAGTCACGTTTGCCTTTCAAGCGCCGATATAAACCTTCCTCTTCAACCACCCTATCTATTAAAAAAAACCGCATCAAAATCCGTTGCGTAGTTTTAAAGATTTAAGCATACATAAGGATATAGGGACAGAGAAACCGACTTTGTTTTATACTATGTAGTGATATATTATTTCTATGTACCTTCTGTACATTCTCATGTCCCCCTCTTCAGCAAACAACTGCCACCCGATTTCACCGCCGACACCTTCGAACGCGGCCTGTATTTGTTCTGTCGATATCCTGTCAATCTGAAACAATATTATACAATTGCGTCACAAAAAACCTTTTTGCCGTGGTTGGTAAGCAGACGAGCATACGACCCACCTAATGGTGAGTGGTTACCGTCGCTCATGGACGACGTCAGCAATATCAAGGACACAGCCATGTCGCTGACTACCGTTTAGTACTGTCCACAAGCCTCGTTTGAACAGGGACATGTCACAGCGCTGTCCAAAGCCGGATTGTACGTGTCAGAAAAGATCTATAATCTATAATTCTAAGTAGTATAGATAACCTCTACTCCGGTGGTGAGCGGTGCGATGATAATAATATATTAAAAAGTACCAGAAAAAAATCTCATAATTAGCTTTTTATCCCAAGAGCCCGCGACAGCCAGACCTTCGTTATTTTATAAAAGCTGAAAGTTTCTCTGTGTATGTCTCCAACACAGGTAAGAACGACCCGCGATTATAGAGTTCCGATTGTGGTTACTTGGGCAGGTAACAGGCAGTAAAGGTATATAAAATAGTACCTTAAATTCGTTAAAGTATAAAGGTTGTTTTTTTTAATATTTAGTCCAGAATATCTTTAGAAATCATGATATCCGTTGCCGGACACTTTTTCCAGTTGTTACCCCCTGCCAGACACCCTTAAACTTTAATAAATTTTAATTATACTTTCGTATATACTATATAAGCTAAATTTTATATATGTTACTTAGGGACTTATAAAAATATGTTACCCCAAGAGCCGGACAGTTTTAATGGTTCTTACATCTTGCCAGACACATTGAGAGCCCTCTGTAGGTGCGAGCGCGAGGTAGCAACTGTTCAAGCGGGTGTGAGCGAGATAGAGTGCTTAGTCTATTGTGATCTTTTAAGATATCCAATAAAAAAAATATTTTATTACGTTCATAGCAATATTATAGAAAATAAAAAAGGTTATTTTAATATTATAAAGTACAAACAAAATATTACATGTCAAAGAAAAATATTTAATCGTTCTTATAATTTTCCTCATTGTTGTCGATATTGAACTATCGAGTCGGCCTGAGGGGCCACGAGGGGGGGCATAGCTACTACCGTATCCGATTTGAGNTGGACTAAATATTAAAAAAACAACCTTTATACTTTAACGAATTTAAGGTACTATTTTATATACCTTTACTGCCTGTTACCTGCCCAAGTAACCACAATCGGAACTCTATAATCGCGGGTCGTTCTTACCTGTGTTGGAGACATACACAGAGAAACTTTCAGCTTTTATAAAATAACGAAGGTCTGGCTGTCGCGGGCTCTTGCTCTATTTATTTACATGATTTGGGTTAAAACAGAAAATTTAAAAGCGTCGGTACATCATGTACCTATACTGCTGATCGCTTGTCTGACGAGGGAATTAATGAGATAACTTTTGAAAATAAATAGGTGGCTGAAATGTGAAGAGCACTAATTTATTTATTTTTATTGCTAGATGAGTGGACGAGCTCACAGCCCACCTGGTGTTAAGTGGTTACTGGAGCCCATAGACATTTACGACGTAAATGCGCCACCCACCTTGAGATATAAGTTCTAAGGTCTCAAGTATAGTTACAACGGCTGCCCCACCCTTCAAACCGAAACGCATTACTGCTTCACGGCAGAAATAGGCAGGGTGGTGGTANGAGCTCACAGCCCACCTGGTGTTAAGTGGTTACTGGAGCCCATAGACATTTACGACGTAAATGCGCCACCCACCTTGAGATATAAGTTCTAAGGTCTCAAGTATAGTTACAACGGCTGCCCCACCCTTCAAACCGAAACGCATTACTGCTTCACGGCAGAAATAGGCAGGGTGGTGGTACCCACCCGCGCGGACTCACAAGAGGTTCTACCACCAGTAACATCACATCGTATCGCACGTATCGTCCATTAATCCGGTCATCGTTCTCGTCGAACCCGTCGCGTCGGTTGCGACGAAGGGCTCGGCGAGTAAACTAAGCCCACAGACACAGCCCACTGAGTTTCTCGCCGGATCTTCTCAGTGAGTCGCATTTTCGATCCGGTGCTAGGGTTGCTAGGGCCAGTGTTAACAACTTCGCCAGCTTCGAGCCACGTGAGCTCATCTACTCGTCCGGTAACGCTGATAACCTCTCAAGGCTATCAGCATAGGTAGGTAATAAAAAAACTCCATTAATAGTCCATCTAAAATTAAATAGTTCGAGCCAAGAATAAGGTCAAACATTTCTATCTCTCATCAACCGAATGATCATTGTTCTATACTCTTCGTATATACTGTGTTACTTATAATATTTTGTATTCAAGTTTAACAATACTTGCTATGTGTATGTGCATTACTATAATTCTCATGTTTTATTTGTTATTTTAGCTGTACTACACACACTCATCACTTTTAATTATTATTCTCAAAATCCTCTCGCAGGTCTGCTGGAAGAGATTTCTTAAAGAAATAAGCAGTGCCTTTGTACATAATTTTCCTATTACTCTGTACTATGTCTTCTTTTTTGTGTGTACATAAATAAATAAATAAATGAGTACGGAGAAATACCTCCGGCCACAGGGGATGTACGGTGAGACGGTTATCGATGGCCGGCGGTGGCAATTCAATCTGGTCGCGGGTGTGTACGGCCGGCACCACCCTCGTGCACCGCTCCTCCTCCATTTTGTCGAAGCCTGTCTCGATCGCATCGTGGAACTCGTCGTCGGGGAGGGTGGAGTGTGGACCCTCCTGTAACCAAAAGAAATGTTTTTTCTTCAGACTAAACAGTATTGTTTTAAAAACGAGAATTGAGACGCAAAACAAAATTGTATTAGGCATTTGATTAAGACGTATAAAAAGACATTTTAATTATTCAATTTTGTCACTCAAATGCTATAATGGGTCACGACCCAAATTTATAGTTTCAAGAAAACATTATTTTACATTACATAAATACAGACTTTTGTTCAATTTAACTACATATTTTGTTCTTTTCTTTTTCAAGCCAAACTAATTTGGCTTTTCTTTCGTTCTTGATCTCAGAGTTCAACAGGCTTATATCACATTTTGTTTTTTCACTACTTCATTATTACATGTAAGTTTTGTGTGTTCATTTCACATATTTCGCAAGGTTATGCTATCAAACACGGTCTAATATAGTCACGCCACACTAAGAATATCGCTGAACAATATAGAACCCAGCTGCCAACTACCGTGCTTTGATTGGTGAATTCAAAAAAACATCGTAAAATTCCTACAATGTATACCTATAAAGGACTTTTAATTCAATCGGGATAACCAGGCGCGAACACGAATGAACAAATCAAGCCGCACTATTATATATGCCCCTCCTGGCTGAGCCCTTGCTCGCCCACCTGTCCTTGTGAAACTGAAAAGGCCTCTTTGGGCCACCAGTAATCACTTATTCATAAAATGAAAGAAAAAAAAATATATGTTTTTAAATGTGAATGACGGCTATGTGATGTTTAACCCTGCTTTACGTACAGAAAACAATCATCTGATTGAGTTAATTCTTAGATAATTGCCGCTTGTTGCTTTCGAGAAAGTTTCTGACATTGTGACAAATAAAGTTTGTATTGTTTGTAATTTTATTTTTCATACATTAAAAGCGTCGCAAAACCATTGTTGAGGTTAACCAAGTTTTATTTACTCATTTACCAAGATATTTATTTATGTTAATCAAACATGTTTTTTGTTGGACCATTCTCTTGTGTGTCAATTTCATTTATCAATGTCAGTGTCAAATGTAATCCGTCGTACATTAAAGTTTTCTTTCCTTTAGTCCCGGCCACGACGTACATACTGCTACCTCTTAATATTTCTTATTTTGCTTCTTACGACTAACCAAAGCAGTTACTAAATGCCTAACACCTGAAGACTCAGCGCATCAAGAAAAAGTATCCAACGAAACGAATAACTTTCAAATTTGGTATAACCAAATTAGAACGTCACAATAAAAACGTATGAAGAATTTTCACAATACGGAACCTAATATGTATGCGTTCGGCGACAATGCACGACAAAGAAAAACGCAATCGACTTAATTTATTACTCAACGACCTTAAGGCTGCGTATGTAGGTCGACTTTACATCAAAACAATTGTCATCGGTTATTATTCAAACAGTTGTAATGGGTAAACGATGCGTTGAGCACAAGAGCCTTTCTGTTTAATTTGTAACTACATAATAATATATAGTCGACGAAACTAAAACTTACTGTATACGTTCTTGTTAATATCGGGAGGTTCTTTTACAAATCAAAGAAAGGATTTGGTTTTTAAATGATGTAGAATAATAATAAATTCAATTAATAACTACTTCAAAGCTACTTTAACTGTATTTTAACATTAACTGTACTTTTTTTTTATTGTTTAAATGGTTGGACGTGCTCACAGCCCACCTGGTGTTAAGCGGTTACTGGAGCCCAAAGACATCTACAACGTAAATGCGCTACCCAGTTCTAAGATCTCAGTATAGTTACAACGGCTGCCCCACCCTTCAAACCGAAACGCATTACTGCTTCACGGCAGAAACAGGCAGGGCGGTGGTACCCACCCGTGCGGTCTCACAAGAGGTCCTACCACCATTAAAAAAACTGTTCTTAAAAGTATCAATTACATTTATATCATTGCCACATGTAATAGGTTACATTTAATTTTGATCACGTTTCGCTTTGATTTTATTCCAAACTGGGTTAACCTGTGATTGCCACCAGTAACCTATATCCACGACACAATGGATTGCTTCGTTTACCTTTTAGCGGCCCCTTTTTGTTTCAGAGACCTTATTGACTGGGGATCTGTGACGTATTGTTTGAACAAATTCAATATCTCGCTAATGTCTATTAACTATCGTTAAAACATTTAAGGTCATTAGTTCAGATACTTTGATAAACGTTTTAATGATTTTTCTTGTCTGTCTGTCGGTATGTTTGTTTATGTTAACGCTACATACGTCTTACGCTAGGTATTTACATTATTAAAAGACCGTCCCACAATATTATAGGAATTATTTCTTAATACATACATTCAGCATTTATGCACCATCGTACAAACGCTTCTACCGCGAATAAATCATAAGCTTCGATTATAAAGTTAGTATAATCAAATTTAACTCAACTTTCTATATCATATTTAAGAGTTTCAGGAACCTCATTAGCCCAGATCGGTATTGACCTCGTGTACCTTTCTACGCTAATAGATAATAATGAAACATTTATGATTGAGCGACTATTGTTTTTATCTATAAGTTCTGTCAGCAACGGCATTGCCGCCGGAAAAGCGTATGTCAATAAAGTAGATTTAATAAATACATTGCACGTATCTTTTATTTTAGAAGAAGTCTGAAACAGGCACCTGTGACAGAGAAGCTAAGAAGTGCGCGTTTGGGATGGACATGTGATGAGACGAAATGAAAATGAGTTTGGTAAGAGAATGTTAACTATGAATGTGGAAGGATATAGAGGAAGAGGTAGACCTAAGAAGAAATGGAAGGATTGCGTGAAAGACGATATGGGTAAGAAGGGAGTGAGCGAAGAAATTGTATATGATAGAAGAGTATGAAAGGAGAAAACGTGTTGCGCCGACCCCAGGTGACTGGGAGAAGGGCAGGATAATGATGAATGATGATGATTGCACGTATCTAATTCCTCTTTGTTCGTTATACGATTCTACAAAACCTTCACTCATATGTTATTACCTCCAATGCAAATCGATAAATATTAAAAACAAATATATATCAGCACTATATGTATTGTTTTGTCGTGCGTACATAACCTATGTTGCAAGCCAGATTTTGTTTCTTTTTATTTGTGTTTTTTATATATCTTGAGCTTGTGATGTGTATTGTGAGCCTAATAAAATAAATAAATAAAAATAATTTTATTAAGCGCACATTTGAGTCGACTATTATCAAAGCCGGCAATCTGACTTTTGGACAATGATTGGTAAATCAGAAAAACGAATTATTGACTTTGTATTCCACTGGCAGTCACAAAACTCTTCGGAACGACATCTTAGATAAATAACAGGTTAACTATTAACCTTTATTTAATGCAGGTTTTGAACCGTATCTTTTGAAGGAGACGATTATATTCAAATCAATCTGTATTGACATATCAATAAAAAAAATTTGTCCAAATGCACAGATTGCCACCTTTGATAATAGACGACTCATTTGCAGTCAACAAACATATAACGAGTTACAATATTCACATACAAGTTACGCCACCGACGTTTATTTATTTGCATAAATGTAACATAATGAGCGTTTTAAACGTGTTAATGTATGCAAAACCGAAACAACACAATTTACGCTACATAAAAGTATTTATTTTTAAAGAGTCAATAATATAAAGTTTAAATCATTTCGTTCTCTAAGCAGAAGACTATTCGAGCATCAAAGAAATACAATACTAAGTAACTAAACTTAACAATAATAATACCTGTACCTGTAACAGCTGATTGTATTCCGTGAATCCTACAAATGAAAATAGTTTATAAAAATAATACACACTGGGGGAGTGCTGTATTTTTTTTTCGTTGCCTTTGTCGTCATACGAGCCATCGGATATGGTCAACAGCAATACCAGGGGCAGAGCCAAGCCGCTACCATTTCTTTTAAGCGTCGCTTGAATATGGAGACGCGCGTCGCAGCTAAATTATTCCCCAGACATCATTTAAATATTTAGATTATTTGAGTCGTCTATTATCAAAGGTGGCAATCTGTGCATTTGGACAAAAAAAATTTATTGATATGTCAATACAGATTGATTTGAATATAATCGTCTCCTTCAAAGAATACGGTTCAAAACCTGCATTAAATAAAGGTTAATAGTTAACCTGTTATTTATCTAAGATGTCGTTCCGAAGAGTTTTGTGACTGCCAATGGAATACAAAGTCAATAATTCGTTTTTCTGATTTACCAATCATTGTCCAAAAGTCAGATTGCCGGCTTTGATAATAGTCGACTCATTTGTGCGTCACGTCTCACGCAAGAACGAGAAAACTGTCTCTTAAAACGAAATCTTCATTAAAACTACACAACTATAGACATACTTGTGCGAAACCAGGTGAGCTATGAGCTATATTGCCTATTTGTGCCAGTGAAAATCTTAAATAAACGTCACATGGTGTCCAAAAATAACCAAGGCTATCTATTTTATAGGCGTGCATTTAGGGCCATTTTTATCCCTGACATTTCCACAGATGGACACACCCCATAAAACCCGCGGGCGATCCATTTGCCCGGTGACGTCACAGCCGCTCCCCATGGAAACCGGAATGACATAACGATATAGAGGCATCGTAATATGGTTCCCCTAACAACGGCGAAAAGGCTACCCATTACATTATGGAGATACATTTTATGAGGTCACGACAGGGCAGGTGATAGTTATAAAAAACGGTACTAACGCAAAGGACCTAAACTGTACATTTAAAACTATTTTGTTTTTATTTGTTTTACTTTTAGAATATAACCCTAATTACATTATTTCTTTCGCCTCTGCGTGTCGACCATCATTTTATTACTGATACAGCACGCATTAAATTTCACAAACACGCAATGCGAGCATCGTTCAAAACGATGTCCATAGCCTATATGATGTTAATAACATGTTACTTTATTTAAAACTGCAAAACAAATCGATTTCAACAAAAAACTAACTCGAATCAGGTGCCGTCCAGCTAATTTTAGTTTCTTTCACGCATTAATAAACAGCATTTGT